TTTCAGCATCATCCCCGACAATATATAAAATAAAAAAACAATAAAAAACAAAAAAATATTTGTAGTTCAATAATTTATTTATCAAACAGTCTTTTGTGTCTTAACAAAAAAAATTTCTTGTAAAGTTTTGGTATAAACTATTACTATATCTGCCTCTACTCTAAGTATAATCTAACCTGTACTCTAATCATAAAAGTTATTATATTTTATTTATATTATATAATAATATTGTAATAATAATTACTACAAATGATATGAAGTAATTTTCAAAATAATATTATTGCTAACTTGTTTTATAAATAAAAACTTGTTTATTTTTATATTATTTATTTGCTAAATTTAAAAAAAACTACTAGAAAAAATTATATTAGTAATTATATTACTCTAATACAATATCAGATTATAATTAACAAAACAATTCTAAGTTCTAAATACTAAATTTATTTTGTTGTTTTTTAAATAAATTAAACTTTCTTAGATTTAACAATTACTTTTGTGAAGTGAAAAATTAATAAGCTTAATAATTTGTAAAATTTTAAATTTTTATAATATATAAATTTTGATAAAACTGCTAATAAAAAATATTATACTTATTATTCTTATAACTTTTTTAATTGGCAAATCACGAGTCATCTGAACAAATATATTTTTTTTTATATATAAATTTTACTATAAGCTCGAATGTAGAGCGTGTCTATCTAAAACTTTTTTTTTTACTAAGTAAATCACTCTTGGGCTTGTAACAAAAGTTGTAAAGCTCATTAAGAAGCATCTAATGGTAGTAAGAATGTTAAAATCAGCTTGGTAGTTCTTAAGAAATCTTTAAAAAACTTCTTTTTCACATATAAAATTTTTTTAAAAAAAATTTTATATGTGAAAAAGAAGTTTTTTAAAGATTTTTCAAGAACTACCAAGCTGATTTTAACATTCTTACTACCATTAGATGCTTCTTCATGAGCTTTACAACTTTTGTTACAAGCCCAAAAGTGATTTATTTAGTAAAAAAAAAGTTTTAGATAGGCGCACTCCACATTCAGGCTAATAGTAAAATTTATATATAAAAAAAAATATTTGTTTAGATAACTCGTGATTTGCCAATTAAGTTTTATTTAAATTTTTTTAAATAAATTAAACACTTTTTAGATTCAACAATCATTTTTGTGAAGTGAAAAAGTTAATGATCTTGACAATTTATAAAAGTTTAAATTTTTATAATATATAAATTTTGATAAAACCACTGATAAAAATATTATACTTATTATTTTTATAACTTTTTAAGTTTTATTTATACTTTTTCTTATTACAAAAGCATATATAAAGTGTTTTATATTAAAAAGGTCTATTTTATAATATGAACAATTTTGAGATAATTAAGTTTAATCAACTCTTCCTAATGATTACTTGGACCAACTAGCACCAAAAGCAAGTTGAAGATTCAAGGCCAGAAATTAACAACAACTTGAAGGTTTCTTGATACAAACTATTGTTAATGAAATCTTTAAATGTAATACACTGAGAAAGTATTCTAGTTAGCAGATACCAATTTGTTAGTTAGATTCTTTAGTCTTGTATTGTATTGTTTTTTCTTCCTCTTTTTTTTTAGTATATTCACTTTCTTATATGTTTTCTTTTCAAAATATCTTCTTTTTTGTATTCTTCTTACTCTATTTTGCTTTCTGAATTTTTTTGTTAAGGACATGACAACAATCAAGTGATTTTTTAGAGAAAAGAGTGGTAAAAAAGTTAAAATTATATATAAGAACCTGATTTTTTTATATTAAAAGAGGAGGAAGAGTAAGCCTCTAATAAAAAATAATTAGGTGATAAATGACACTACTCTTAGGGAATTTTTTTTCAGATTGGTGATATATTATATAGAGCAGTAATTCTGACAAGGTTGGTAAGTATTTACTATAGATTCTTGGAGTATAAATTCTCAGTAAGTTAGGAATCTCAGATGAGATAAAAACGAACCACTTAGACGGGTCGCACCTGGATCTTTTTTGCAAAACTTTTTATAGATTCTTGTTAATAGATCAAGTGATTCTTTATTAGTACAGATATATGTAGATTTATGAGTAGTTTAGCCTTTATAAAGTAATTTTACACTAATTTATATAATAAAAGAAGAATTATTGAAACAAAAAAAAGATAATTAAGTTTAATTATTTGTTTTGATTTTTAAACTAATTCAAAATTAAACAAATTTTATAATTTTGATTGATTAAAGATAATAGATAACTATTGAGTAATCTTATAATGTGCTTGATTTTAGATAGTCTTATGTAATTTTTTTTATATTATTTTTATTTATGTCTATAACTAATTTTAAACAGGAGTGATTTTATCTAGATGATGTCACCTATATATTTAATTTGATAGTCTATCAAATTAAATTATTTTTATTAACTTTTTTTTTTTTTATATCTAATTGTATTCTCTTTCTTTACATCAAAATACACTTTTTCGAATACAACTAACCATTATTTTTCAACATCTAGCTACCAAAGTTCACGTGCCATTTATTTATCATGAAGCCCAAGAAGTTCCATTACACTTTATCAGTTCCTATGAGTCAAACGTCGAATACATCATCGTTGTTGTCTTATTTCAACGCCTATAATCATGATCAAATAGATAGCTCATTGCCCTCTCACTTTAACATCTACGAACAGGATATTACACCTGATTTTTCACCACCTTGTTTTAATACATACGAACTCGCCTTACCTTATTATAGCTATAAACATAATATTGCAAACATTTCGTCTTTTTATCCAAACGCCTATGAGTACTATGATAATGTAAATACTTCGTTGTCACCTTATCCGGCCTCTATAGATATGATAGTACTATGTCAACCTATGTTAATTTCCAAAGCTCTAGTGATTCGTTGACTGAATCGGATATTGAGGCTCAACCAGAAGGTGCAGATAATGGGATTTATGATAAGAGGGAAAATAATGAGTATGAAGATAGTGAAAATGAGGAGGAAAGAAAAAATAATTTATTAGTATTACGTAAAGGAATGAAGTTTAGTACATGGGAACTTGCCGAATCATACCTTACTGATTATGCGAAGCAGGAGGGGTTCAGCTTTCAAAAGAAAAGACAGGTTGTTAACTCTGATGACTACACCATAACAAGACGGTGAACATATGAATGTTTACATGCTTGGATATATGAACCTGAAAAGGCTATTCTGGCAGAAGATAGGAGAGACAGAGATTTTAAAATGATCGATTGTCCTTGGCACATTAATTAACAGTATTTTAGGTGAACACAATCACGAAATAAACACTTTTGTTACTGAGATGGCACCAAAATATTGAAAGTTAACATATGAAATGTCTGAAAAAGTCAAATTTTGTACTATTCATAGAAAATTAGACTTACCAACCCAATATAATTTGTTAGTTGCATCATTTCCAGGCCAAGTTATTAATAAGAAAGATTTAAGTAATGCAATTTAGCAGTTCAAAAGTCAGGTAAAATCTAGTAAAAATGATGCATGTAGAATGCTCAATAACTTATATTCAAAGAAAGAAAAAGTTCTAATGTGAATAGTTAAACCACGGTTTGATTCAGAAGAAAGATGACTTAACTCATTGTTCTGGATGGCTTTCGATCAAATTAGTGCTTATGAATGATATCATGATGTTGTAGTCGTAGACACAACATCCAAAACCAACCAGTTTGACATGATATTGATGCTATTCATAGTGGTTGATAACAATTTTAGAAATTTGATTGTGGCATTAGCAATTATTGAGGATGAAACTGAATCAACATTTACCTGGGTTTTGCAAGAGCTAAAAAATTTGTGTGAAATTGCATCTACAGTACTATATTCTGATGCTAATTTTGCTTTACTATCAGCTATGCGAAAGAACTATCTATATACACGACATTTCTATTGTATCTTTCATATTGATTTAAATTTAAGAAAGAAGCTTAAGGGTACATTACATGAACAATTCAAGCCTTTTCGTACTAGGTTTTTGGAGATACATAACACTTTATGCTATAAGAAATTTGAATTAAAATGGGAAACCTTATTAATGAATATCCAGCATGTAAAAGTTATCTTATGAATATTTTATATCTCTGTAAGACGAGTTGGGCAAGTTATGCCATAAATTGATATTTTACTGCGGGAATTCAGAGTATCTAGCGAGCTGAAGTAACCAATAAAATTATCAAAGATAAACTCAGCAGAACTTCATGGCTAACGGATGTTGTTGGAAAGATTCAAACAATATTTGATCAACAATCAAAAAAGGCAGTATTAGCTGAGTGCAAAAATGAAATATCAACAAAAGGTATACTGACTATAATAGACAAATACTTCCTTGAGTTGGATAAGATGTTGAAAGAATGTTTCACACTGCAAATACTTCAGAAACAACGAGATCAAATGGCCCAGTCAATATGCTATAATGCTGTATTAGTTGATAATTGGTTAGTACTCCTAGAGGTAAGGATATTAGGTTAAAGTTAGAATTGAAAAGTTTGAACTTATTAAGTTTGAACCTATGACTAAAACTTTTTTTTTCTTTTCGCTTTAGACAACTGATGACTCTTACCAGGAAGAAATGGCCAGAGAAGATGACTACGATCAGCCTCAGTCTTTATTTCCTTCTTTGCTCAAAAATATACCTCAGGATTGTGTTCAAGAAGTTTGAAAAATTACTAGACATAGAAGACAGCAAGCAGATCCGCAATATATTATCATACTCAACAACAGCTTATACTTGTGTATATGCTTTTGGCTTGTCAATCGTGGCCTCATGTGTAAACATTTCTTTTGGGTTATGTCCTATTCTGTTAATTTACGATTTCATATTACACTTATTCCTAAATACTAGTACAATAATAGTAGAATTAATGAAGATGAGGTATTTGTGCCAATGTATCAAATTAAAAAAATTAAGTCAAATGAGTTGCCTCAACCATTATTATTTCAGCACCTTGTGAGGTTTAAGCAAATCCCTAATATTGTAGATTTGCATGATACTAAACAAAGATACAGATTTGGTATGAGATATGCCAAAAAGGCACTTGATTTGGCTATTCGTGCTAATAAAGTTGATAACTTTGTTAATGAGATTGAACGTTTTATCGAAAGAACTAAGAGGAATATGTCTGATCAAGACGAAAATATCAATCTGACAAATGCTGAAGATGTTAGCGTTAGAGATCCGTTACGGGTACAACACAAAGGTCAACAACCTAAAAGATACAAGTCTGGTAGTGAATTACCGAAAAAGACAACTGGAAATAAAAAGGGGGAAGGTATTGCCAAAAATGTGGGCAAACTGGCCATTATGCTCCATGATGCCCAAATTAAGTAGTATAATAATAGATGTAATGGTATTATATGACTAAACATAGTAAAGAATTATGAAGACAAATGCTAGCACTTTACCAATATGATATATATATATGTAAACTGTATGTAGCAAGATACTTTATAATAAACCTTTATACGTAAGTATATACTAAAAAATAGTGCACTAGAATATATGCATATATAGAATACTAAATTTTCAGGTTGGAGTTAGAGTAGGGTTAGAATTAACTATACTAGTTAGCGAGAGCTATACGATAGTATTATTAGCTGGGCAATTTTTACTTAATAAACAACTATAGTTTCATTAGTAAAATTTTTAATAATCTCTAGCTCATTCAATCTGGAATTTTGGATATCTTTTATACAACTTATATAACATCTATAAAAGATCGAGTGTTTATAGTTAAAAATATAACGATATTCGAAAATGCATAGCATTGTGTGTCCGAAGCTAAATCAATTGATTGAATTATCAATAAGCTCGTGATTGACAACCAATCAGAGATGTGAATGCAAACAGATAGAATGCACGTGACAGTGTTGATCAAATATAGATGTAAAAACAGTGAAATTTTTAGAATACCCGATATTAGCTATAGCGATAGTACTTGTACATATATATAACGATCAATAACAAATAATAAAATAGTATAGTGATATTATATATATATATATAATAACTTATAAAATATATATAGTATATATATATATATGAATATTTATATAATATTATATATATAGGTGATTTCACCCAGGGGGTAAGTTAGCAATAGTTTTTATTTATTATTATACAAATCATCTTTTATTTATAATTAAAAAATATTAATAAAATAAACTTGTCTATAAATTAATTATTGGTAAAATAAACTTGTTTGTAAATTACTATAACTGTTAGTAAACTAAATTGTTTGTGATTTTTAGTGAAATAATATAAATTTAAATTAAAGTATAGTATATATATTTATAAATATTATTAAAAATAAAAATTCAAATTATATAAAAGATTATAGTATTTACTTTTATCTTTGCTTTAAATTCATAATAATTTTGTAAATACTTTTCAATCCTATCTGATTAATCAAAAATTTCTAGTATATAATCAAGCACTGGATTTGTTTATCATCTGGTTTATTTAGATTATTTTACTATTCCTAGTCATGTAACAGCAAAATTTTAAGGAAGAACCTGCTACCAGTATAGCAAACACATAATATAATTTCTACTTCTGCTATATTTTAATACTAATCTTAAATATAGTATTGGCTATGCTGTATTGTTAAGGTTAGTGCTAATCACTTGCTGTGTTAATAAGTATGTATTTTGCTATATTGGTAAGGGACATGACAAAAATCAGGTAATTTTTTAGGAGAAAGAGGGTAAAAAAAGTTAAAATTATATATAAGAATCTGATTTTTTTTATATTAAGAGAGGGGGAGAGGGAGTAAGTCTCTGATAAAAAATAATCAGATGATAAATAACACTACCCTAACAATTCTCTTTTATAGTGGTTGGCTAAAGTGGAGTGAAGTTTAGAGTTACTTTTTTGATACAATTATATTAACAGGTTATATAGATATCAAGAATATAATTTATATAGTATATAGATCATATATTGAATTAACTCTGCTTTAGCCGACCTGTGATATTGAAAAAGATAGATATATCTATGCAGTGTTGTATATTTTTGATATCTGAGCCTTTTGAAATGTCCGGTAGACTATTCGGCTTTTTATTTTTTTTATTTTTATTTTTTTTATTTTTATTTTTTGTATTAGCAGCCTTGCCAGTATCTTTATTAGATCAAAGCAGATATAATTATATTCTAAACTATCTAAGTTACAGATCTGATATCACTCAGCTTCCTCTATAGGCACCCAAGCATGGTCTGCCTTACTGGTTAAAGCAATTGCCTATACCAAAGGGCTGCACCAAGCTAGCTAGCAAAACTATAATGAAATAGTTTTGAATTAAAAGAAATTTTATCTATATTAAATTGGCAATTTTTCTGTTCTAAACTATCCTCCTTTCTATAACAGTAATCTAAACTAATCTTTTTATTAATAACCAAGTCTATATCTTTTTCTCCTAAAGGATTATTGCCAATATTCTTTCGAATATTCTTGTATATTCGCTTCTGTTTCATTTCTTTCAATTTATTTGGTCCTTCTTAATCAGAGACCCAGCTCTTAAAAGCCTTCTCAGGTTCTTCTCTTTGCTTTTTCTCTTCTGTTCCGAAGCTCCATTATTAGATCTTTTTTTTTGTTCAAAGATCTTTACCAGAGTTTTCTCTTTTTTAGTATTCTCTGGAGCTTTTTCTACTTCTCTAATGATTGTCGCAAATTCATTTTGTTCGAGTCTTCTTTTTTTTTTTTTCTTTCTTCTGCTAATCTGAGCATCTTTTCTTTCTCTTCTTTTTTTTGGATGCAGCTTCTTTCCAAAGAACTTCTCTTGTAATTTGATATAGACTTCTCGATCTTCTAATACTTCTAATAATATTCTTTCTGCTATATCTAAAAGTATATCTTTCTTTTTCTTTCTCTGATTCATAACTTTTGTTATTCTTTCTACTGTAATAACTTGAATTCTGTCTCTTCTAACTGTGCTCTCCACTACGTAAGATTTGGTCTGTTGAATCCAATTTGCTAGTAGGTCTTTTTTCTTCTTTTTCTAATTTTTACTATTGATCTGGGTATCTTTTCCACTTGACAAATACAAAGCTTCTATTGCCTAGTCTATTATATCTTTCTAAG